TTTTTACTAAGCCTCCAAAATCCAATGTGCATTTCACCCTTGCAGCACATAACAATTGTTAAATTTTTAATGGTTAAAGTGAAATGTAGTCCTATGAAAACAATACAACTGTGTTTAATGGAAAAAAAAATATTGTCTACTGCTTCAGTTTTTAAGTTTACATTGAAATGTGTGAAAATGAAATAAAATCACAAGTTCTTCAGTTCCACTAGCCACATTCCACTCAAGATTGACATGTGCCTAGTAGCTACCATATTGGACTGCATAGTTCTAGAACATTCTGTATAATTTCATGCAATGGTGCAATTGCCTGAATTACCGAAGTCTTTCATTATAAGATTATTTTACCAAGAAGGTGGACTCAGGGCAGAAGATGAAATGTATTTAGGACTAAAGGTTTACTTTCAGCATGGGGGCTTGTGATGAGATATTTCAATTGCTTTAGGAAAGAAGTTTTCATTAACACCCACTTATGAGTGAGAACATGCGGTGTTTGGTTTTCTGTTCTTGTGTCAGTTTGCTGAGAACAATGAGAACACATGGACACAGGGAGGGGAACATCACACACTGGGACCTGTCAGGGGGGTGGGGGGCTAGGGGAGGGATAGCAGAGGATGAGGGGATAGGGGAGGGATAGCATCAGGAGAAATACCTAATGTAGATGACGGGGTAATGGATGCCAAACCACCATGGCATGTGTATAGAAACCTGCACATTCTGCACATGTAACCCAGAACTTAAAGTATAATTAAAAAAAAAAAAAAAAGAAGTTTCATGCTGAGTAACTGGAGTACTTAAATTTAGGGAGAACAATCTTGTGCCAAGTAGTCAGTAAACTATTTTAATACATTTTTATTTATCAAGAACTTCTAGCTATTTTAAAAATAGCTTTAAGTAAGTTTAACAAGTCACTTTATTGTAATTATCTGTAATTTTAGAAAGTAGTATTCATAAATTGTAAGTGGTTTAGATTTTCTTAAAATGATTCTAAGTAGGGAACATTTAATCTTACCTTCATCCTGTCGTAAATCTTGTTGTTTTTTTATTGTTGAGGAAAGACCATAAATAAATCTTTAATATGCCTACATTTTATTGTCGACATTTATGATATGTTTTTGTATATTTTGACAAAAAATACCAAGGTAGAAGGAGAAAAGCTCCCTTGTATTTGCAATGGTAATTAATGTTGACGTCTGTATTTATGTATCACAAAATCTTGTGTAAACATACTTCAGTGGGGTCAGAAGAATGTTTTAAATAAATGTACCAAGACGCCCTACCTACAGTGCCATTTAGAACAAAATAATAACATGAAGTGGACTAGCTGAGCCCACATTTTGACAGCATTTAAACAGCTTCCCTATGAGACAAGCAGTTCCCATCATAAATTTCAACTCCAAATAATTGTTTAATATAAGAGTTCCATAGTAAGGTGCTGAGGTTTTGCTAACAATTCTGAACACCAAATGGGTTCACAGTTTACACAGGAATTTTTAAATAAGGATTTTCAAGAAATAGTTTGTAATAACCACCTTTGGGATTGCACTAGACAATCCCACTCACTTCTAGATGTAAATGATAGAACTGGGTATTAGTTGGATGATATGCAAAGGCCAAAGTTCCTTGGTGAGCCAAAAAAGTGTTCAAATAATTGAATTTTAATGTCTTCTGTTGCACTGTAATGATTCAGTGTTCAGGCATATTTCTTTGAATCAGGCAATCTTGGCTTTTGCACATGACGAGCATCACATGACATGGGGAATTTTATTTGTTACAAACACTGATACTATGCACGTAGCAAATGGGAACTGTGATTTTATTCCATAGGTAAAACTAATAATAGGCCTCAAGAGATGGCTGAATTGTGACTGTGTTGAAAAGGGAGTATAAACAAACTAATCATCACACAAAAGGGTCTAGGAAAACAAGCAAATAGTAGTTACTCTCATTACAGAAGGAACAAAGAAAGACTTTCCTCAGCGGCAGATTAGAGCTCTCATGCTTCTCAAACTACCAATTCCAATGGATTCCACCACCTTAAAGCAATTCCCTTTTTGCTGGTTTTTTTTTGTTGTTGTTGTTGTTTTTGACACAGGTCTTGCTCTGTTGCCCAGGTTAGAGTACAGTGGCACGATCTCGGCTTATTGCAACCTCCGCTTCTGAGGCTCAGGCGATCCCCACTGCCTCAACCACCCATGTAGGTGGGACTACTGGCATGCGTCACCATGCCCTGCTAATTTTATATGTGTGTGTGTGTGTGTGTGTGTGTGTGTGTGTGTGTTTTGTAGAGACAGGGTCTCACTATGTTGCCTAGGCTAATCTCAAATTCCTAAGCTCAGGCAATCCACTTGCCTTGGCCTCCCAAAGTACTGGGATTACAGGTGTGAGGCACCCTCTTGGCCCTGCTGGGCTCCTTTGGAGCACTATAAAAAAATGTCTGCCAGTTCCACTCAGAGTTCTTCTCTCACATCAAGCCACAGTAAGGCAGAGTTTTCCTGTGTGCTTCATCGCTAACTTTGCACTGGCAAGGTCTTCTCCAGTTAGTCAGATATTGGAAGACTTGAAAGTGCTTCCATTCCTTAATCTTTTTCCAATAACCTTTACATAAATGATGTCGTAAATCACCTACATCACATAAGTCTTTTTTTTTTTTTTTAATTCAATAACAGGGGTGCCAGGGCTGCATGTATCGGATTATTTTGTGGATCTTTTGAGTTGAGAACAGCAGGCTGTCACCTGTGGCCAGCGCAGAAAGATGCAATCCTATTGATGGAATCAACTGTAACATGTGTTTCTGTTAGGGAACACGTGCTTGGGAAAAACAAAAGGACCTAGATTTATTTCCCTTAGCGCTATAAGCCTTTGAACGTTTTTGGATGAAACTTCTATATTAAAATTCCAAAGCCTCTGTTTTCTAGTTTGAACATAAATCCAAAATACAGAAGACATCACTGGAAAGAAAGAGAGGTGGTCTAAATGAAGAAAGATGGGGCGGTGCTTGCTTTAAATACCACCAAAGTTTAATGAAATATTTTTACTGTGCACATCTATCTTTCTTGCTTTTTTTTGAAGAGATGAGGTCTCACTTTGTTGACAGTGGGTGCAATCATAGCTCACTGTAACCTTGAACTCCTGGGCTCAATCGATCCTCCCACCACTGTGCAAATCTTTTCCTTTTTGAGATGGAGTTTCCTTCTGTCACCGGGCTGGAATGCAGTGATACCATCTTGGCTCACTGCAACCTCTGGCTCCTGGGTTTAAGCGATTCTCCTGCCTCAGCCTCCTGAGTAGCTGGGACTACATGCATGAGCCACCGTACCCTGCTAATCTTTGTATTTTTAGTAGAGATGGGGGTTCACCATGTTGGCCAGGATGGTCTCTTTCACTTGACCTCGTGATCCCCTCGCATAGGCCTCCCAAAATGCTGGGATTACAGACATGAGCCAACATGCCTGGCCTGTGCAAATCTTAATTGCCATTTTCAATTTGGACTTACTAGACTTAGCCAGAGAAGGGGAGACATTTTGAGGGGTTATTCTCACTTATTGAGATTTGAGACTAATTTGTTCCAGGTACAATGCTAGAGCTTTACACATATAATCTTACTGATCTTGTTAACAATTTCATCAGGTGGATGTGGTTGACAGTCTCAGGGAGATAAAGTGACTTCCCAAAGGTTTCCTAATTAGAGCAAGGCAGAGCCAGGATCAAGCCCAGGTGACTCTATCTTGAATTCCTTGGATTTTCCTCTAGGTCACCTGCCTGTTCTAGACGTTCTCAACCCTGGCTCCACTGCAGAATTGTCCCTCATAAGACTTTAAAGCACAGTGTCAAGGTCCCACCTCTGACCTGCTCAATATTTGGGGGTGAGGTCTTAGCATGGATATATTATTTTAAGTTGCATGAGTGATGATTCTGCGGCATATTCAGGGTTGAGAATCACAAATCAAGTGGTTAAATTACTGAAAGTAGCCTAGGCTAGAAAGATTCAATGTTACAATTAAGTTTATGATCTAGGCTAGAAAGAGATGACAATAGCATCAACTTACATACCATCCAAAGCAGTGCTTCTCAAACTTCACCATGCCTAGGAATGCCCTGATGATTTTGATAAAATGCAGACTCTGACTCAGTGAGTCTGGAGAGGTCTGTTTCTGTATTTCTAATAACCTCCCAGGTGATGCTGATGCTGTTCATCTGCAATCACATTTTGAGTAACAAGGTTTAGGGGACCAAGAGTTCAAGCTGTGGATGGGAAATATCCACTGACTACCAAGGGATGAAGGTGGAAATCCTAATATTGTTTTTTGGAGCACTGTGTTTTTCACAAGTCTCCCACCATGTTCACAAAGAACTGAAAAGGCAGAGTTTTGGTGACGATCCCTGCTGGTCTCGTCATCCATTCCTTCATCCCCTTTGGATGGCCTTGCTGGGTTGCAGAGGATGATCAGAGTTGTTCTGTGATAGATATTTGGGTGTCAGTAATGTTTAGTAGTTTCAATTTTTAAAAAAGATGTTTCATTCGACTGAAGCTCAGAGTAGACTTTTTTATTCCCCTCTAGGTCAAAATTAAGGTTCTTTGCATAGCAAGAAAAAATGACTGTCCAAAGCCATGCTGCTGTTCCATGGCCTACTCACCCTAAGAGAGAATTTCTTCCCTTCTTACTTGACTCACTGTGCTGTGTTTAAAATGAAAGAATCATTACAATTTCATTGTAATGATAATTGCTATCTGAATTTCTCTGAACAAAATGTCTTAATTTAAAAATGGTATTAGTCCTGCCCTGTAATTTTTTGGGGTAGACATTTATATTGAAAGTTCAAAAACCAGATCAAAAGGCACTAGGAAATTTCCAGACTAATGTAAGAAATTAGTGAGCTGAAGAGGAAAACTTTTCTCAAGTCAATGTAAACATGAAAGCCTAGCGCAAGCTGGACAGTGATTAAAACAATGATTTCAATTAAATTGTTTGTACCTATATATATTTAAAGATACTCACTGCCATGCTTCCTTCTGGGAGTTTTGCTGGCTGATCTTTATAAGGCATCTTCTTAACTTCAAAGGAAACCAGGGATGCAAGTGCATAGGGATCATTTTTTCTCTGAAAGTAAAATTATTTATTTTAATAAATTTCATATAAAGTTTTTAAAAGTTATACTGGCAGCCACCCAATTATTTTTGGTGTTTTGCACTTCAAGCCAAGATTTCCTCCTTCCTTATTTTCTGTTTTAACTTTTTTCCTCCCATCCAGGCATTCATCCATCTACCTGCACATCCATCCAAGCATGCATGCATCCATCCATCCATGCATCCATCCACATCCATCCATGCATCCATCCATCCAAGCATCCATCAGTCCATCCAAGCATGTATCCATCCATCCCACATCTATCCATCCATCCATCTATCCATCCACCCAGGCATTCATCCATCTGTCCATCCATCCATCCATCCATCCATCCATCCATGCATCCATCCAAGCATCCATCCATCCATCCATCCATCCATCCATCCATCCATCCACCCACCCATCTATCCAAGCATCCATCTATCTAAACATCCACTCATCCATCCAAGCACCCATCCATCCATCCATCCATCCATCCATCCATCCATCCATCCATTTATCTCCTTCCTATTTCTAAGGAGAATTTGTCTCATTAATTAAAGACTGTGTATAATAAGGTTAAAATAAAAACAGAAAATCAGAGTCCTAAAAAGGAGTAAGCAAAGAATTAACATAGTTATTGCTAGTGAAGGACAAAGGAGAGACATGATGGGTTACCAAATTCTTATCAGATAGAGGGAAATATTTTAGGAGAGAAACTGGCAGTAAGTTATAAAGAAATGTATTGGCCGAGCATGGTGGCTCATACCTGTAATCCCAGCACTTTGAGAGGCTGAGGCAGGCAGATCACCTAAGGTCAGGAGTTTGAGACCAGCCTGGCCAACATGATGAAACCCCATCTCTACTAAAAATATAAGAAAAAAAATTAGCTGGGTGTGGTGGCAGGTGCCTGTAATCCCAGCTACTCAGGAGGCTTAGGCAGGAGAATGGCTTGAACTCAGGAGGCACTGGTTGCAGTGAGCTGCCACTGCATTCCAACCTGGGTAACAGGAATGAAACTCCGTCTCAAAAAAAAAAAAAAAAGTATTACATTTCACAATTTACACAAGACCCACAACAGAGTTTCTTGGGCCTCATGAGTCCAGTCCAATTGTTGAACTGTAATAATTTTGTTTAAATATTTTTTACAAAGTTTTTTTCCCCTATAGTGGATTTTTTTTCCCTCCATTATTTAAACCCTTTTCCCTCTACATGGTAAAGGCAGGACTTAGCATATAACTTTTATATACTTAAACTTACCATATCTTCGGATGTTTCTTTCTTTGTACTCCTACGCTGTGGAATAAATAACCCTACTCATTTGGGAAAATTCTTTTTTGGATGTGATCCTAATGTGCGCTTCTCTCTTGGCATTTCCATTTTAACTAAAAGTTGGATTTTTGTTTGTTTGAGGAGTGTTTTTATAAAATTCAGGAATTTTTGCTCATAAAATCTTGTGTATACCTGGTGATTTCCATCTAATTTCCTTGCCATCCTGACTGATAGAAACAAGAGAAATTCTAGTAATTATATCTTGTGTGTAAGGATTATAATTATATTCTCAAATGTATTTCCATGCTCCCAAACCTCCAATGAAGAAGTTTTCTTTAATCTCCAAGTTCAATAGAGAATCGATAGAAAATATTACTGTTCTTGAAGTCATGTCTTTGATAAGCAAATAGTTTGAAAACCCCATCTCTGCATGAAAAGCCTTCTAGATGGAATGCGTTGTTCTTACAGATTCTGTATTTATAAATAGGAAAGTTTCTTATGCATCATAGATGGCATTTGAACTCTAGGATGTAGAATATGGATTAACATGTATCTCTAAGGGAGTTTTCTTTCAATTCCTTCCTTTGCCCTTCCTCTGTTGCCAAGGCTGGAGTGCAGTGGTGTGGTCTTCACTCACTGCAACCCCCGCCTCCTGGGTTCAAGTGATTCTCCTGCCTTAGCCTCCCAAGTAGCTGGGACTACAGGCTCACGCCACCACACCAGCTAATTTTTGTATTTTTAAAGTAGAGTCAGGGTATTACCATGTTGGCCAGGCTGGTCTTGAATTCCTGACCTCAAGTGATCCTCCTGCCTCAGCCTCCCAAAGTGCTGGCATTACAGGCATGTGTCACCATGCCTAGCCTCATCACCAATCTGAACCGTCATTTCTTGTGGTTCACAAACCGCTCTGCTTTGCTGAACTTCAGACATACCTGAGAGCAGTCTCAGAGACTGATTCAGTAAGTCCGAGATGAGACTGTATCTGACATATTTTTTGGAAGGTTCACATTGTTTAATTTTTAATTTTTCTCCATTACTTTTCTCCCCAGCTAGATGATACAAAAATGGAAGGCATATTCCATTGAATATAATGTCTATATCTTCTACAGACTCTAGAGCAATGTGCACAGGAGAGCTTAATCAATATGGATGTCTGACCACATCAATGAAGGGTGAATAAACACATTTAATGCTTTGGTCATTTGACGACTCTCCCGCTCCATGTACCATCCATTTGTTGCCAATTATGAAAGATCTTTCTATTATTGAATTGGACACCCTTTCTCCCTTTAACTAAAGAGTTCAGGAAGTTGTAAAGGGGGGTAGTAACATAAAATGAGGGCTACAGTCCATGTGAAAGGGATATTGACATGCTCTCACCTCTGCAATTCAGACATGTGCACAGATGTAGCCTGTTGCACTAACAAATCATGAGGTAGGCAAACAGCCTGTAACATCACCTCTCCTGGATCAATCTGCTCTTTGTTTTAAATGTATTCTCCCATAGCAAGGTTTCTTCCACCCTTTTTGGAAGGAAAAAAAAAGTGCATCTTCTTCACTTTTAAAGAATGCTCTGGAGCTCCAAGGAATGGAAAGTGTAGCTTATTAGACTGATCAGCAGAGTCAGCATCAAAGATACCTAAGTCCTGCATTGCAGGTCAGAGGCATGGCACAGGTGAGTATTTAATAATCCTTGAAAAGCAATTATGGGCAGAGTTGTCATAGTGATTCCACATCCAAAGTTAAATGCTTCCAGTTGTGCTCTTTACATAACAATGATATTATTCTTATGTTCAAAATAATCTCCTCTCCCATACAGCAATCTACTCATGTAATAGCAATCACTGCCATATTGTAGGCAATTTAGAATTGAAACACCAGCTGGGGTTAATATCCCTTGGCAATATTGTGGACCTTTGTCTTGCCCCAGCTAGCTATTAATCCCCAGAAAATGCCTTGCTCCTCTGTCATTACTGCATCATTTAAACCGTGGTTTGTAGCTCACTGGCTGTCTCTATGATGCATTTTTGCACTGGCTTATTTCACTTAACGTAGCAGCCTCCAGTTCAATCCATGTTCTCTCCTCAGTTTGGAAGCTTCATCTCAACCTGGAGGGTTTCAGTTTGAGAGATGTAAGAAAATGAGATGCTCGCCTCTGCCTAAAATGCAAGAAGTCTTTGCTAAACTCACTAAATCACAACAGCTTGTGGCTTGAGGGAGGATGAGGTACAAGAATTTGGGAGAAAAGCCAAATGTTATCACAAACATGAGCCAAAGCTCCTCACAGAAGATTCTTCTGCTGAATGGGCTGGCTGGCCACAGATGTCAGCATAGGTGCATTCCTAGCTGCACCTGTGCTTTTGAGCTATGGGACCCGCAGGACTTCTTTTCTGGTCCCAACCCTGATGACTAACACAAGACCTGGTACAGCCAGGATGAAGGGAAGAAACTGGCTAAAGGCAGCCAATAGCTACTAAAGCAATCCCTAGCTGCCCTCATTGCTCATCAGCATAAGACACTCCTGCCAGCACCATGACAGTTTGCAAATGCCATGGCAACAACCCAGAAGTTACTGCCCCTTTCCATGGCAACAACCCAGAAGTTACCACCCCTTTCCATGGCAACAACCTGGAAGTTACCACCCCTTTCCTAGAAAGTTCTGAATAACTTGCCCTTCAGTTTGCACTCACCCACCCCTAAAGTTGCATATAATTGAACATGGGTATAAGTGGATATAAATAGAGTTGCGAAGGGTCCACCAAGTCCAGCTCTGGGCGTGCTGCCTAGGAGTTAGCCCACTCCTCGTGGAGCAGGTCCAGTTCAATAAAAGTTTGTTGTTTAAGATTGTGACTTTCCTTACCTCCTCTCTTAAAGTAAGAATGAAGCCCCTTTTGCCCCATAGCAGTGTCATCTGTCATCTGAAAAGGCAATATAAAGTTGCTTAAATTCATTTCTGAACGAAGCCAAGAATGCTTACGGGCTAAGCCCGAATTTTGGGGTTCACCTGCCCTGCATTACTTTTGCATCTCAAACCAAGCCATCAAGGTGGCATTTCCAGAGACCCCAGAGAAAGGCATCAAAAAGCACTTTTGGTTCCTTTTGTTCAAAGGTATCACAAGCTTTTACATTTCCAGAATATCAGCTGCTTCCTGGGTCACTCGCCATAGGCCATGAGGGATAATTTGTTGTGATCTCATTTGTTAGTTTGACTCCTTTCATTCTAAATCTACAAGGACTTGTAGACAAGCCAAGACTAGCATTTGGCCTGAGATTTTTCATTCATTACGACATCATGAGTAGTATCTTGTGTCAGGTGATACAAGGGCTGGGAAGAAGATTCAAAGACAAGAAAACATTCCTCCTGCACTTGAGGAGCTTACCCTCTGGTGTCAGCTACAGATATATTTTTGGGAAGATTCCTCCACTTCCCTTCCCAAAACAACTTCTTAACCTCACAAGTTTTTTTTTTTTTTTCATTGCATACGGCAGAATTTCAATATTTTATTCACTCAGCAGATCCGAACCCAAAAGTTTACTTGTATGGTTCATGCTTATATCTAAGTTTTGAAGTAAAGCCAGTACATTCTGCCCCTTGGTCTACATATCACATCATTTTGCTGCCTTTGCACCCTACTCAGGAGAGCAAGCAGGAGGCTGTCGTGTTTATTCAAACCTGTAACCTCCCACTTAAGGAAAAGTAGATTCCTTATAGAGGTTTTGCC